TTTTCGACTCGACTTTCGACGCTCTAAGCTCGAATTTCCGACGTCTAAATATTAATTACTCGGACGACTGCCAGACTCTATCTCTCTAGAACTTTTTAACTTTCTCTCTCTAGACTTTTTGGAAGTCTAAAATAAGGGAGGTAAAAACCATATTTATATAGGGGTAAATTCAGGGACAACGGTGTAATTTCCCTAGAAGATGAAAAGCTAAAACTGATTCACCAATAGCTGAGTGACAAGTTGTTGAAGCATAAAGGTTTTGATGATGAGGAACTTAAACTAAAGCAAACTCAACTAATAAAGGTTTTCAAGTGTTTGATTATTTTAGGTGAAATTGATCGTGGTGATGGAAGAAGTAGCTGGAACTAAGAAGACATGAAAAGATCTTTATTGAAGGAGCTAAACAAATCAGAAGAAGAGTTCTCTAACAGGAACTAGTTCTCTAACAAGAACTGAGTTCCCTAACAGGAACTTGAAGACAGCAAGCTTAAGTTCTTTGGTGGAACTTAATAAGCTTGGAGCCCAAGTAACCTACCTGAACAAAAGTGTGGCGCAGCAATTATATTTAGTTAAGGTTTTTATCTTCTAGATTATTGTTAATATGATAAATAGGTTATTGCACGAAATTTATTAGAAGCGTGACAAGTTGGCTTGGTAAATAAAATAATATGAAAAATATAAAAGATAGATTTTAAGAAAAGATTTTCTAAAAAGATTATTTTCTTTAAATCAGTTTGTTAAAAAGATAAATCTTTTTAACAAATATCTTTTTAATCTTATTTTCCGAAAAAGATTTTATTCCACTTGATTTACATAAAACCGTGTTTAAAGATAAGTAAGTTAACTTATTTATCTTTTAGAAAACCTACTTTCTATACGTGTAATACTTTTATAAATAATAGAGAACAAAATGATTTTAGGTTTTTGTGAGTTTATGCGTGGAGAAATCACTGTGCTATAATTGTGTAAGTTTACTAAGCTTCTAACTTGTCATATTAGTTTCGGATTTCGTGCATTGCTTACCTATCATACTAGGTGTCGTACACTTGTATTAGGTTGGGTTATTTGGGTGAGTTTATTGTTTACTTTACATACAGTTTTGTAAGCCTTTAGGTGAGGCTGAGTGTTCTGTACTTAGGTGGTGCAAGTAGTTTTTACTTTGGCAGTACGTGTAGTACTTTGGTGTACGAGTGAATCTAAGTGTGGTGCTTAGATTGAGTAGGATAGGGTCTTATCAAGTAGCAAGTCCAGTGAGGATCTTGTGAAAATAAAGGTCCGTGACTAATAGGTTGTAACTTGGTGTTTGCCCTATTATAGTGGAGTTTGTGTGTTTGAAATCCCTAAGGCAGGGTCGAGGTTTTACTTCCAGTTGGGCCCTGCAAGGTTTCCTCGTAAAATCTGTGTGTTCTAGAAAGTTCCTATATGCATAGTTTATTAATCCGCAAAAAGTAGTCATTAGGAACTCAATACAATTCCACCCCCCCTCTTGTATTAATCGTCTCAATTAAAACAAGTGTCACATATGCCACATAGCACGCCACGTCACACCTGTGAGGGGCAAGTGTTTTTAGTAAAATTATCCTGGCCATGTGGTCCTATCAGAAGGTGACATGTATCACCAAGTGAGAGGTTCAAAGTGGACCTATCTCAATTTGACATGTGTCACTCCTAATTATTTAGGAAAAAAGGCCTTCATGGACCCAATTGCGAGAAAGCTGCAAAGCGACGTAGCCCATCAGTCTTAGGTTTCCTTGACCTAGATAAGGGCTCCAAGGACCCTATAAATAGGGAGATTCTTCCATTTTGGGGGAACGTTCATTTATTACAGCATTCAATCCTCTCACATCAGAGAAAAACACCTGATCTCAAAATCCGAGAAGATCTCAACTTACCTTTTCGCACTTTATACTACTCTTCGACCAATTCTTACTTGATCGTCGGAAGCAAAGGTCCTACCAACCGGAGTCTCCGTTGTTTTGCAGTTACAAGCGTCGAAATCCAGACTTAGTGACGTAATTCTTCTTAGGGGCACAGAAAAACCCCGAAACAGCTGGTGTTTTGTTTTTTTTTTTTTTTTGTTTTTTTATGGTTTTTCGATAATTTTTTGGACCAACCACGACTTGAAACATATAAAGTAACCTAATATATTAGGTTATTCACTTTTATTGACCAGCTTGGGATTGATGAAAGTAAACAACCCCCCAAAGTAGGGATTATTCCGAAATAATCTAAAGATGAGATTATTTTTTAAAAAAATGGGGCAAAGTTGGTATTATTAATAAGGAAAAATTGCCCAGAATAATCCCACCTTTGGGCTGTCCGCTGAAAATAATCCCACCTTTGGATTATTTTTAAATAATCCCACTTTTATACCCACTCCGCTATAACTGGTCCCAACCGGTAATTTAACTTGTTATAACAAGTTACCATACACGTGGCAGCATGTAATTGGTAAAAAAAAATCTTTTTTTAAAAAAAATAAAAAATTAATATTCAAAAACCATCCACCACCCAAGCCAACCCCCAACCGGCCAACCCCATTCACGCGGCTCCGGCCAGCCAGCCTTTAAATCCAGCTCCGGTGCGCGACTCACCCCCTCCCCCTCCCCTGAACCACCAACCCTCTCCCTCAATCCTTCGCGAAAACCCAGGCAAGTCACCACAATTTCTAGCCGCGTCGTCGATCTCACTTAAACCTAGATCCGGCGCACCGAACTCTCCCATCCCCAGATATGGTCGCGTTGATCTCCCTCGTCCACTGTTTCCAGCCGCATCGAACTCCCCAGGTTCTGGTTTGTTGGGTTTTTGAATTTTCGAAGGGGGTTTTGGGCTTGGCTTGGCTGGGGTCTTGTTCGGTGGCGGTGGTTCCTGTGTTGGCTGGGGTTTGGTTTGGTGGCGTCGTGGCGGTGGTTCCTGGGTTGGCTGGGGTCTGTTTTTGTGGCAGTGGTGGTTCTGGGTTTGGATGGTGGTGGACTGGCGGGGATGGTGGTGGCTGAAACTTTGATTTTATTTTTTTTTAATTTTTTTTTGGACAAATCAAGTTGTGACATGTGTAAATTAAATTAGATAAAAAAAATTACCTCTTCAACCGGTTACTAGTCACTCAGGACCACTTAGAGCGGATCTGGTATAAAGGTCGGATTATTTAAAAATAATCCAAAGGTGGGATTATTTTGGGCGGATCAATGGCCCAAAGGTGGGATTATTCTGGGCAATTTTTCCTATTGATAATTCCTTTGTTTTTAATTAGATGCCTCACTTTTGTAATTGAGAACTCCTAGAAAATTTTAGAGGGTTCGTGTGATAGGAGAGAGATCGATAGAGACAATTTATTAACTAAAAGCGAAAATGATGCATCTAAATTAAAACTTTCGTGTTTAGAAAGTAATGCATCTAATAAAAATGGAGAAAGTAAAAATTTTCCCTTAAAATTATTTACCACGGGTAGTTTTTTAAATTTTTCTTATAATTAAATTATTAAAGAAATAATTTTTTAATAAACAACCCCAACTCCCTCCCCACCAGCAAGCCACCCCCATTGCTGATTAGCATCTCTCACCTAACGACATTGCCACCTTCTCCTCGGTCGAACACTTATCCCCCACCCATAATTGCTCCCCAAACTTAAAACCTCCTGCCTCGCTCAAAAACCCATATGAAACCCTCGGTCAAACTATTCTAATCGTCGATCATCGACACAGCTTGAACGTCGCCGTATTTATACAAAGATTTGCGATCAAATTTTCAAACCAATCAACTTTGAATCAGTAACAAATTCAACATTTTCAAGCCAAATTGCCAAATCTCGAAATAATTGAGATCAAAATGAGAAAAAAAAAAACAGATTTATGAAAAATTCAAATTTACATTTAGCCTATTCCAACAATTTTAAACAAATTTATCATTCACAAATTCGGAATAACTCGACAATAGAGCTTAAAATATGAGAAATGGGGGAGGTGGGTTTTGGTGTGGGGGAAAAGAGGGAGGGCATTATCAAATTGGGGGAAAGAGGATGGGGTAGGAGTCGTCGATGGTGGAGAAGGCTAAATGTTGATGCGAGGGAGGGCAGGGGGCGGGCGCCGACGTCATTGCCGATGAGAAATGAGGTGGCTAGTGGGGAGTGGTAAGTTGGGTAAAGGAGTAGGTGGGTTTTTTTTTTTTTTTTTTTTTTTTTTTAAAAAAAAAAAAAAAGTAATGTTAAAAAAATATAAATTATGTATTTATATTTTGGAAAATTTTGACTTTTACCACCTCTAAAAAAACGATTTATTGGCTTTTACAACCTATATAATTAATGTTGGAAAAATTGCTAAAAATAATACAACGTCCCATTCTTTTTAAATAATACAACTTTTTTATTATTTTGTAATAATACAACCTTTAGGGGGTGTTAATTTTAAACAAGATAAAATAGACTTTTTGGTGAGTTTTGAGGTGGGAGAAGGGGATGAGATATTCCATCCTTCCTCATTCCCACCACCAAAAACTCATCCGTCCCCTTTCTAAACCTCAAAGTCCACATAAATTTAATTTTATCTTGTTTAAAATGAACATCCCTCAAAGGTTGTATTATTACAAAATAATCCAAAGGTTGTATTATTAAAAGAGAATGATCCAAAGGTTCACTACTACATTTTTAACCTATTGCAACCCTCAAATCCGTTGCATTAGGCGCAAAATCCGTGGCATTATGCCTATTGCAACGACCATGTACCGTAGCATCTGCTGGTGTTGCAGTAGGTCTAATGCAACGGTAAAATTACCTAACACAACGTCAAGCTTATAGCCGTTGCAATAGCTATCATCTATTGCCACGACACCCTTATGGTCGTTGCAGTAGCTATATTTAGCTAATGCGATGGCAATATGTAGCTAACACCACGGCCAAAGAGCTAACGCAACGGCTATAACAATAATTATAATAATTTTCAACAAGAACTAAATAATAATAATAATAATAATAATAATAATAACAATAATAATAATAATAATAATAATCAAATCCAAACTTTATTAATATAAATTGTAGAATTGTACATTGTTAGTTTGTTACCCTTAGGGAAAATTACAAAATTATACAATATGTCTCTAATTAAACTATGAAAAAAGTATCAAAATTATATATTTGTGTCGTGTCTTATTAAGTCTTGCTGTGATACGATCAATTCAGGCATTCTGCTTTCCAGGCTAGGGGTTATGCTCCTTTCTTCCCCATATTCAGAACTTGCAGAATTACTTGTTGTGCTGACTTACTTCCTTCTCCTTAATCTGCTTATGCAGACTAGCACCATAAAGGGTACCTGAACAATGCAACAATAAGCATCAATTGATCAGATACACCCATACATACACTTTCAATCTACTAACCCAACACAACAGCAAACAAAAATAAAATCCTGATGGCTGATACCACATGTATTGAACTTCAAATTACCCATCTCTAATCATATACAAAGCTGTTCTAAACAAAGATTATCATATGCAGTCATCTAGAATGATTTCTATGAACATAATCAGCACTAAACAACCTAAATCAATCATATTATGGTCATAATTCATTACCTTTAAAAAAAAAATACCCGTAATGGGACAAAGGTTCTCCCAAACTTGTTCAAAATCGTAAGGCAAAACAAGCTAAGTTATGGGTAACCATATTCCTATCTCGCTCAACATGGAACCACAAAACAGAATTAAAATCAACACAAGAAGACAATATATCATCTAAAATAGCATCAAGATCAGTGAGGTAAACCGAGGCCTTTGATAATCTGGAGATAAGGACTTGACAGTTTGCTTCTAGAATAACATCCTTCAAGCCAAAGCGTTTGGCAAATCTGACTGCCATAGGAGCAGCTTTGCTTTCTGCCATAACAGGGGGACAATAAGCTCTGGTGCGCCTGGAAGCAGTGAACAACACCTCCCCCTGCCAGTCTCTTGCAACAACACCAAGCCCCACCCACCCCTCAACGTTCAGCGAGGCATCGCAGTTGAGTTTATTCGTTCCCTCGTGTGGGAGAACCCATTTCTTCAAGCTTCTACAGGTAGCTGTCTTGGCACCACCATAAATCTTTTGTGCATAGAGGCCACAATCAGAGGCAAGTCTGTAAACTCGCTCAATAATCACAGGGTGGTAAGTGTCTTTTCCATTAAAAATCATGTCATTCCTTCTATTCATAATCTAAGAATTACTTCATGCAATGTAACATAATTGAAATACAATAAGATTACATTCAAACAAAATTGAAAATACTCACCGTATTTTTCGACAATACCAACCTTCTTGGTTCTCTTGGCCTATTTACATAAACAGGTATAAGTCAAAAATTTGTTAAGCAAAAGTTAAGCATAATCATCGCACATTCTAGACCAATAAATACCACAATTGAAAACAAAAAAAAAAGCAACTTTAACACCCTCAAATTTTGACACTATACAAAGTTCCAAGCATTCAATTCACTCATTGCTTATACCAGTAAATGAAGCAAATTCACAATTTTATTTTATACGCTTAAGTTATCTTTCAATGCCCAATGTTTGATAAATCTGAGTGTGCCGGCAACAATTCCAATATACTAAACTAAAATCACTATCAAAGATTACAGATTACAAATAGATGTTTCATAAACCCTAGATAACAATTAATATGAACCTCAAAAGCTAGCAAATCTTACAGATTACAAACAGATGTTTCATAAACCCTAGATAACAATTGATATCAACCTCAAAAGCTAACAAACTAAGCTAATAATCAGCATTAAAATGAAAAAATCGACTACTCATCAGATCAAAAAAACAAAAAACGCATAAAATAGTACTGATTTGGAGTTTTTAAAATGCAAATTTCACAATAAACTCAAAATTGTAAACTAACATTTCAAGCAACAAAAAATCAAACAAATCAATCTAAACATATGTCGAATAAATCAGATTCACACACAATAAATTAATCTAAACTAGATTATCATCGATGAATGAAAATAGAGAGATTGAGAGGAATACCATTGCGACGAATGTAGACGGCAGAAGAGATAGAAAATGAAATCTTGGAGAAGAGTGTCGAAGGGTACGAACTTTGAAGTCGAAATCAGGAGGGAGAAAGAGGTCATTCTTGAAGATCTGGGTTAAATCGTAGATTGGGTCGCCAAAGAGGTCGGTGTATGACCACGGTGGTGGTGCAGGTGGTGGTTGCGCCATTTCTAGATTAGCCGACGCCATTGTTGGTGGTTTTAAGATCTGGGTTTTAAAGCAGATGCAACAACTACGATAAAAATGTACTCCTTCTCATCTACCTTTACCTGAAGCATCTCCCACACATTCTCAAGTGAACAAACAACCTCCTTTCTCAGAGTTTCGCCGAAAAAATCCGTCTCTTTGGTGACGAAATCAATGGCTGATTGAAGAAACCCTAGCAAACTAAAAGGATCGAGAGTTGAAGATTACGGTTTTAGAGTCGATTCTTCTACGGTGGTTGTTGAGGATAGAGTTCTTCGTAATTGTATAGAATTGCCATAGATTTTGAGGAGAGAAAGAGGGGCAGAGAGCAATTCTGGGTTTTTTTTTTTTTTTTTTTGGAAGAACCTGAAAAGAAAAAAGGAATAGTAATAAAAAGGGGTATAAGGGTTGGATCAGAGTATAAGGCGTTCTAAATTTTGGGGAAAAAATTAGAGGGAATTTTCAGGGCGTTAATTTTTTTTTGGGTGTGTCGTTGCAGTAGCCATTTACCCGTCACATTAATTGATCTAACGCCACGGTTCTCAACAGCCGTTGTATTAGCTCTACTTAGTGAAGTTAAAAAGAAAGATCCGTTGCATTAGCCTAATTTATTGCAACGACAATACAAATGGCGTTGCATTAGCCTGTCATTAGCCGTTACATTTGGTCAAATATGTAGTAGTGGTTGTATTAATTTTAGCAATTTTTCCTTTAATGTTTTATTTTACCACCTCATAAAAAAATAAATTTGGCTTTTCCCACCAAAACCCAACTCTGGTTACGATTAAGATTACTTTTTAAAATTTTTTCCCAATCTATCACGATTTTCCTTTTTATATAAACATAACTTGTTCATTTCTCAAAAATTAACGTTGATTGAACATCAAATTTGCCGAATTTCTCTCCAAATTCTCAAATTTGCTCAAGCTTAATAATCCTAGCATCAATTCATCCAGATTTGTGTTGAAAAAAGATCACTTGAAAAGAAAATTGGAAATAGATTTTGCATCTCACGTAATTAGCAACACACATAATGAATTTTCATTCTTCCTAATGTAATGCTTGATTGAAATTCTTATTCTCGCTTATGAATTGACGACAAAAATTAAAGTTTAAAAATTAGGGTTCATCATACTGAAATTTAATTTGGGGGATTTTGAAATAGTACGTAATTGGTTATGAAAATTAGGGCTAGGGAATGATAATTGTGTTGAACTAGAATAAGTATTGAAGTTATTGTTTGTGAATTTAAAAATCAAATGTCTTCCATAAGTCTATCTCCTTCAAAAGAGAGAAGATGTCAATGTGGAGTTCTAATGACAAGTCTTACTTCTTGGACTAGGATTTAAATTTTACAGAGAGATGAAAAATGTAAGGAGAGAGATTAGAAGTTCAAAAAAAATTAATGGGAGGAAGGTGAGGAAGTGAAAGGAATTGAATAGGGAAGGTGAGGGTAATGAAGAGAGAGAGGGAAATCATGTTTAGAGCATTTAATTTGGAGGGAAAAAGAAAAAAGTGGGCCCCACATCACTATTCCGTCACCGGAGTTGGAATTTGGTGGGAAAAACCAACTTTATTTTTTTTAAAAGGTTGTAAATTAAAACTTGAAATCATATAGGTGGTAAAGACCAATAAATCGTTTTTTGGACTTGGTAAAAGTCAAAATAATTGTTTAAAAATAAAAATACTTAACTAAGAAAGTGGCATTTTTGGGCCGCATTATCTCAAAGGATGGTTAATCCTGTGAATATTAGTTCTGTCATGGATTGTCTAGGCCAAATAATGTGACGGATGTTCATAGTTTTCTAGAATAAGCTAGATATTATCGATGTTTTGTTATGGATTTCTCGCGTATTGCTAAGCTTGTGATTATGTTGATGAGGAAAGAGACAAAGTTTGTGAGGATGAATCTTGTGAGAATGCTATTCAACAAGTTAAGGACAAGTTAACAAGTTTAAGGTAAAGAATATAATGTCAATTATGATTTCTATAATGTCTTCGATTGTCTTTCCTAATATTCATGTTAGTATCATGTTAGAGCTATATATTTGATCTTTATTGTTTAGTGACTTGCTAGAGTTTGTTATTAATTTTGTTAGTATCATGCTTAGGATCTTGCTATTAATATTATGCTTTAACATGATTATGATAATTATGATTATGATTATGATTATTGTTGTATCGAATTATATAATTTAACGTAATTTAATATTTAGCGAATTGTTTAACATAATTTGTTAATTAGCGAATTGTTTCACGTAATTTGTTAATTTACGAAATATTTTACATAATTTATTAATTTACGAATTATTTCATGTTATTTGTTAATTGACGGATAACTTATATATAATTTGTTAATATCATGTTGTTTGATATATATTTATTGTTATTGCTTGTTCACACCTTTTATGCATGTTTAAAGAGAATTTGTAACTGTAATCACGCTTAATAAGATAATTAATAATCTTGTTTAGGGTAATATGATTATAATTCAAGTGATCGCTAATAATATATTTTTTTGTGCATTGATATTCAACCAACATAGATTAAACAGGTTTAGGGTAAACCTATTGATTGTATGTTAGTCAGAAAGTGCACATGAATACGAAAAGAATAAAGTAGAGACCTATTATTATGGCAGGTTCAATCTCTTTTATGTTGGATTTGTACCTTTATCCCAGAACTTCCAGTCATGGTTCTAGACCTATTGAAGTTAACGATCTCCTAGACCTTCACCCTATGAACGATTTACAAGTTCCTAAAACTTGTTGGCGACTCTTTTGCTCTAGCTTCCTTCCCTTTGGACGCCACCGTACTTTAGTGTATGATCACAGTGGGGTTCAAGTTTGGGGTAATGCTTGAAATATTCCCTACAATAGTTAACCGCTATTACGTTTGCTTTGATGATTTGGAGGCATTATCTCTATGGAGTGACTTGTAAGATCTATACAGTTAAATCAAAAGAGTTTGAAGTACATTTTCATTCAAAGAAGTTTGCGACTAAGGAGATGTCTTGAGTTGATCATGGACTATGATTTAAATGTTCAGCATCATAAATGGATGGAGAATGTAGTTGTCGATGCTCATAGTCAAAAGACGACTCATGTATGTGTTGAATAGTTTGATGGTTTGTGATCGATTGTGTAAGAAATTTGAGAAGTTGAATTTGAAAGTGGTTCCTAGTGGAGAATTGGTAGCTTGTTTGAATTCTTTAACTATCGAACCGAGTATATTTGAGGAGTTTCCATTGAGTCAACAAGGTCTTAAAGTTAGAGATGGATAAGATCAAGTAGCACATTTCTCAAGGAAAAGATTTTGATTTTGAAGTGCATAAGATGGAAGTTTGAGGTGTAAAAGGAGACAATGTATACCTCAAAAGCGTGAGTAATTGAAGAAAAAAGTGATGGAGGAAGGTCACAATACGAGATATTATGTGCACCCAGGAGGTGACAAGCTTTATAAGGGTCTCAAGAAGATGTTTTGGTGGGAAAGAATGATGAACGAAGTTATGATTTTGGTGTTAAGTCTTACGTGCCAAAAGTGAAGAGTGTCCATTAGAAGCCGCAAGGCAAATTGCAACCTTTGGATATTCTAGAGTGGAAATGGGATTCGATTTCAATGAATTTTATTATTTGATTGCCAAAGACAAGGAGTAGGAATAAGTTGTAGTTGATAGATTGACCAAGACTGTGAATTTCATTCCAATGAAAGACACTTGGAAGATGGAGAAACTAGCTAATGCTTATGTGAAGAATGTAGTAAAACACCATGGAATTCCAAAGAGTATTGTTTATGATCGTGATTCAATGTTTTTACGAACTTTTGGAATAGTCTACAAAAAGCTTTGGGAACCTTGTTTATGAGTATAACGTTTCATCCTGCGACTGATGGACAAACGGTGCGCACCATACAAACTTCAGAGGACATGTTGAGATCCAGTGCGTTGGAATTTCAAGGATTTGGGAAGATAACTTTGATTTGATTGAGTTTTCGTCCAACATTAGCTACCATGCAAGTATTGGCATGGCACCATTCAAGGCTTTGTGTGGACACAAATGTCATAGCCTTAGTGAAGGTTTAACATAATTGAAATTGTTTTTCTTGGTCCTAAAATGATTCAAGAGACATTTGAAAATTTTTGGATTATTCAAGGAAAAATAAAGATGCCCAAGATTGAAAAAGAGCTATACCGATTTGAAGAGGAGAGATGAGGAATATGAAGTTGCTAACAAAGTCCTATTGAAGGTTTTGCCTATGAAGAGGGGTAATGAAATTTGTGAAGAAGGGGAAGTTGAGCCAAAAGTTTAGTTTATTATCCCTTATGAAATATTGAAGAGTTAGCAAAGTGACTTATCAACTTAAGAAGTACATTCCTGATAAGTCTCTTGTGATGTAATCAAAAGCGATTAAGATCAATGAATCTGTATCATATGACGAGAAGCCGATTAGGATTTTGGATTATAAGTTTCATAACACTGGCAACAAGGATTTGTGCATAGTAAAAGTTCTTTGGTCGAACCAATTGTTTGAAGAGGCAAATTGGGAAGCCGATAAGGAGATGAAAAAGCAGTACCCCGAGTTATTTAGGTAGGTGAGTTACAAAGTCATAAATTCATTTTTAAGGAGGGTTAATGTGTTCCATGTTTTGCATTTTTTCATACCTTTTTCTTTCAAGTTTGGTCTAATTTGTGCTTATTTATGAACTAGTCAAGTGTAAATTTATGCAAGTAGAAAGTAAAGTTAAGTGAGTCATGAACAAAGCTATTAGCTTTAACGTCTTTAAAGACGTATTTCAAATGTTTTTTTAAAAGTTTTAAACTGTTTTTTAACCTATCTATCCCAAGTTTCGGGGACGAAAAATCTTTAAAGGAGGGTAAACTATAATACCCCATATTTTTAGAGTATTTATACTATATAAAGTACATATTTTCATTGTATAAATACTAGTAGTAAGTATTTACACAAGTATTTTATAAATATCTTAAGTACATTTATTATATTTTAAAGCAAGTATTTGAATGTATTTTATTTCATATATTTTATTGTGTAAGATTATACCAAAATATAAACTAAATAATATGATCACCCAAAATTAAGGTAATAAGATGATCATCTTATTTACTAAATATTCCTATAAAAATTTATAGTAAAAAAGATTATTTTATGCTAGAGTATTGTAGACACCCATTTGTGTCTCCCCAAAACCAAACCCAGTGATGAGTACCTTTCTCGTCGAATCATAATCGAATGAAGTGAAAGTGTGGAAAGTCTAGTGTTGCGGAAAGTTTTATTTCTTTTCTCTTCTCTCTGTTTTTGAAAACTTATTTTAAGAAAACAGTCAATCCATTTTTGTTGGTCCATGATATGGGTCCAATAGTAGTGTAGTTGAATGGGGCTTGACAAGAGCTTTCCAACGATATATTATAAGCCCAATTCCGATGAATATTGAGGAAGTTATGACCAATTTACTAAACTGGGCCTGGTTTGAGCCTTATATGCGGCCCAATGATCTAGGGGACGGCCTAATATAGATTTATCATTCCTAATGCAATTAGGAATGGTTTTAGTCTTCTAGATTCTTCTAGAAGGTTCCTTTCATTCCTAATTCAATTAGCATTGATAAATTGACTTTTGTTGACTTTTCAGAGTTTTAATTAAAATCAAAGAGCATTTTTGAGGAAAATACGATTTT